GGGGTTGTTTGATTTCAATGGTGAAATTTGCGAGAAAATGACCAAAGTTTCGTAACTAAAATAGCGAAAGAGTCCTGGAAAACTGAAAAATGACATAATGTGTGCCTTTAATCAACTTTTTTCCCGTAAAATTCACATGCAAATGTGTTTTTATATGGACATAAAAGGGATTGAGTTTTTAAAAATAAAATCGATAAAAAATGCCAAACTGACAGAAAAATGCCTATTTCTCCAATTTCGTTATTTTGACGAGCACCTGATTTCATCACTATGCCTCACAATTATTATGCTCCTTTAGGTCATCTCCATAACTGTTAAATTATTATTGTAGTCTCCGCCATCATATTTCGCTGCCCCAGAATTACAAAATTCTATCTGACATTTTGGCTGTTTGCTTTACTAAGACCATGAGGCCAGACACCAAACGTTCTACATCCTCTGTCAAAATGGTAAGATTGTTCGGAGTCGTTATCGAGATATTCAAAGAATTCTATTAGAAATGCTTGACATGATGTGAAACTCAAAGCTTTTGACGTCAAATTTCTCAAAACTAGTTACGGAGCAAATAGGAATGTGTAATTCTAAGGTAGCGAAATATTTAATGAAGTCATCCTGATCGTCGTGAATTTGTTGTCTTCCCCATCGTCCATCATATTTTCCCAACTTGTGTTATCTCTCGTCTCATTCCTCTCATAAGCTGTCTGTCTCTATTTGTCTCATTGAGACCTTCAGACTGAATGCATTTTGTATCATTTTCTTTTTTCCCTTTTGTCTGTCTTTGCTATACTCATCAATCGTTTTACCTCCTTCAAACATTTCATCACTCGGTTGATTCCATAGAAGTTTCAGATTCTTTTCTACTCTTGTCTTAAAGAGACCACATTGAATTTTTAGTAAGGATCACCTGATTGGCATCATCATCAGTTGGTTTTTAGTTTTAAATAGAACATATTATTTTTCATTCGCCAACTTTTTTCACTTATTCATGTAGATCTAAAGAGGGTTACAGCATCATACCTCACATCAAAGATATGAATTCTTGATTCTATAGTGCCTAAGCACATTACTATAGGATGACATTTATAGTATTCACAAAAAAAACCTTAAAAAATTTTGTTTTCTCGATATCCAGCTTCACTGATTAATTCGGGGTCAGCTCTATGTCCATCCAGCTCTAACCCCCCCCCC